GCCTTCTGCGGGGTTGCCGGCTTTCAGAATGGCCTCAATGGCCTTGGTCAATCCCCAGTGTTCGACGAGGTATTGCGAGGTCATTCTCCCCAGGTCATGGCGATTGCATGCACTGGCAGTGGAAGAACTGCCCTACTGCTTGACAAGGGGAGTATGGGAATCGGAAGGGCCAAAAAAGTATAATTTTGGAGGCCGTAGCTTCATTCGATTGTTGGGTTTGGCATGCCTTCTTCGGGGTTGCCGGATTTCAGAATGACCTCAATGTCCTTGGTCAATCCCCAGTGTTCGACGAGGTATTGCGAGGTCATTCTCCCCAGGTCATGGACCAAATCAACAATACCGTTTACTCTGGTGCGTACTACCTTGCCGACGGAATTTATCCTAGGTGTACGACATTCGTGAAAACAATTCCGAATCCCCAATCCGAGAAGGAAAGAAACTTTGCTTCATTTTAAGAAGGTTACAGGAAAGACGTGGAGAGGTGTTTCGGTATCTTGCAAGCTCGTTGGGTAATTATTAGAGGTGCTGCTCGGATGCTAGATAAGGAGGTGCTGCGAAGTATTATGATAACTTGCATCATCCTTCACAACATGATTGTGGAGGATGAGTATGACTATGATGCTCAAGAGGTGTTTGAACCCGATCCAATGAACACATCGTTGACAAGAATATATGAAAGGCCGATTGGACCAAATGGACTACCACTGGAGCCCGAACCCTTACTTCGGGATGGTCAATTCAACAACCCCATGATTGATCGGTATCAAGAAATGCAATCTTCATATGTTCACGAGATACGTCAAGGTGACTTGGTCGAGCACTTGTGGGAGATGAAAGGCAATCACAATGGATGAAGTCAAGATTAGTGCTTTGTTTGGAATTATGCTTTGTTTTTAATAATGTTTTATTTTGTGCATGGTTTTTTTTGGAATTATGCTTTTTATTATTATGCTTTTATGTATGGTTTGTTTTGTGTGTTGTTTGCAATCAATGAAGGTTTTTTTGAATTAATATTTGTTTTGATGCTCAAATGTTTTTAATAAATAGTCATTTTATTTAATGCTTTTTTTATTGAATATGAAGGAAACAATACAACAAATTAAAGGATAATACAACAATACAACAATACAACATATGGCAAAGGTGTTTCAATACAACCTAATGGTTTTCATCATTTAACCAATCCGTATTGCTAGGTCCGTCGTCATGGAAAAGTTTTCTTCTCATCACAACTCTTCGTCGTAGCTTCCAATAGACCTTTGTTTCGAGAGACATATGGCTCGTATCCATGGCCATGATTTTCATCTCTCTATCATCTATGTCTTTTTCTTGTGCCATTTGTTGTTGTAGAACAAATGCTTCCTCTCGTGCCATGTCTATTTCATCTCTTTTCAAGTCTCTCTCCATTCTTAGTGAGGTGCTCTTAGCTATTTGCTCCAATAATTGTACACATTCATTGGTCGAAGTGCCCCCTCTCTTGGCCTTTGC